ACTGAGAGCGGCTCTCTGGGCTCCTGCTTGAAGCCAGCGGTTATGGGAGAACCGACAGCCTTCATCCAGGGCCGGGGGGGAAATGGGGGGGGGATATGGGGCTGGGTGTGGGGTGGGGGGCACACGGCCCCAAAAGGGAGAGGGCTGTGGGTGGCGAAGTGATGGGAGCGGTGGGGGCCACCTGGTGCTCCCGGAATACATGGGGGGAACCCACCGCCCCAGGTTATGGGGTCAGCCATTGCCCCCCCCGGGATATGGGGTATGGGGTCACACACTGCCCCCAGAATACAGGGTATGGGATCACCCACAGCTCAGAGATATGGGGTGTGGGGTCACCCACCGCCCGCCAACATAAGAGGTATGGGGTCACCCACTGCCCCTGGGATATGGGGTCACCTAGGATATGGGGTATGGGGTCACCCACTGCCCCAGGGATACGAGGTACAGAGTCACTTGCTGTCCCTTTGGTGTGGGGTCACCCACAGCCCCTAGGATATGGGGTATGGGCTCATCCACTGCTCTCAGAATACATGGTATGGGGTCACCCCCACACCCCACCTCAAGGACATGGGGTCTCCCACTGTCCCCAGAGCCATGGGGTCACCCACTGCTCCAGGGATATGGGATCATCCACTGCCCCCCAGGATATGGGGTCACCTACTGCCCCAGGAAAGGGGGTATGGCATCACCCACAGCCTCAGGGATATGGGGTCACCCATTGCCCCTGTGCTTATAGGGTCACCCACATCCCCTGGGATAGGGGCTATGGGGTCACCCCCTGCCCCCCAGGATATGGGATATGGGGTCACCCGCAGCTGGATGCCAGCAGCCCTGCTCCATTCCTACCTGTGCAGGTGACACCGTGGCCGCGGTGAAGCTGTGGGTGCCCCTGTCTGTGGGTGCCACGTGTGGGGGGGGGATCCCGGCATGAGGGGGGTCCTCCAGGGCCAAAATGTCAATGGGGGCTTCAGCCACATCCCGGATGGACGGAGCGAGGGCGGCGGACGGATCGAAGAGCAGAGGGGATGGGGGACACTGCAGGCCATCACCCACCACGTCCAGGTCCTATGGGGCAGCACGGGGGGAGGGGGGGCATCAGGAGGGGTCCCGAAGCCCCCAGACCCAATGCAGAGCTGACCTCTGCTGCTTGTAGGGTTGGAAAGGTCCTTCGAGGTGATGGAATCATGGGATGGTTGGGTTGGAAGGGAACTTCAAGATGATGGAATGTTGGGATGGGATGGGATGGGATGGGATGGGATGGGATGGGATGGGATGGAGAACCACAGGAAGGTTGGGTTGGAAAGGTCTTCAAGGTGATGGAATCATGGGATGGGTTGGGTTGGAAAATCGTGGGATGGTTGGGTTGGAAGGGACCTTCAGGATGATGGAAACATGGGATGGGTTGTGTTGAAAGGACCTTAACAACCATGCAGCATGGGGTGGTTGGGTTGGAGAACCATGGGATGGTTGGGTTGAAAGGGACCTTCAAAGTGGTTGAACCATGGGATGGGTTGAGCTGGAGAACTATGGGATGGTTGGGTTGGAAGAGACCTTAAAGGTCATGGAATTATGGATTGCGTTGGGTTGGAACACCATGGGATGGTTGGGTTGGAAAGGTCCTTCAAGGTGATGGAACCATGGGATGGTTGGGTTGGAAGGAACCTTCAAGATGATGGAACCACAGGGTGGGTTGGGTTGGAGAACTATGGGATGGTTGGGTTGGAAGAGACTTTAAAGATCATGGAACTATGGGTTGGGTTGGGTTGGAAGGACCTTAAAGATCATGGAACTATGGGTTGGGTTGGGTTGGAACACCATGGGATGGTTGGGTTGGACAA